TTTCTGTTACGGTACATTCTGCTGCTGGTTTCCAGGGCCACACTGGTCTGTTCAACAAGTCGGACTTGTACGTTGAATGCCACTACGGTACCTTCCACTCATGGCACACCAAGACTGCCAAGGACGCTGGCTCCAATGCAGATTTCGAAGAGACCTGGACCTTTGATTCCAATGACAGCCACTCCGAAATTACAATTAAAGTGCGCGATGCCAGACACCTGAAGCTTGATGAAACTCTGGCGGAAGGCGCTTTCACGTTTGAGCAGAGGCCTGGCTACTTCTACACTGGCGAAGTGGGGCTTGTTGACGAGAAACACGGCGATGAACCATCTGTTAGGTTGACTGTGAAGTGTGAGTAAATTAATTCGGTGCAAGCGAAGCTGTGGTGCGATAACACATTGAATTTTTTAGTATGGAACCGAGTATTGATAATTAGAGTGTGGCGTGCGGTGCGGACTTGTCAGCGAGACGGGTTCACACTTTTGGGATGGGAATTGAAGATGCCGTTAGGCTCTTCGGCCGGGATGATCGTAACCGTGGGGTCCGGGGTGGTCGTGACATCGGGGCCGGGGTGGTCGTAAGCACCGGGTCCGGAGTGGTCGTGACCCTCGTGACCATCATGACCGGGGTGGTCGTCACCATCGGAGCCGAGGTGGTCGTTACCATCGGGGACGGAGTTGTCGTCACCATCAAGGACGGGGTGGTCGTTACCATCGGAACCGAACCCCAAACCCGAATTCAACTGATCGCGTGAGGTGAAAACGGCAGGTGAGACGAAAACGGGCAGTGAGTTGGATTCGGCTGAACGGGCTACGCGTTCGTGAAAAGTAACGGGCTACGCGTTCGTGAAAAGCCCCTCGCCCATAAAAAGCTAACGGCAGGATCAGTCGGACCCCAATTTCGTCTCAAACACCCTCGGCCGGTCCTGACGGCCACTGCCACGCACCACCAACAGCAACCTTGACCCGTGACCTGCCGATCTCACTTCCCGCTCTGGTACGCCTACATGTCCGCCCACCGCGAGCTTTCACGGAGTATAGGTATAGACTGAAAGAGGCTCGAGGATATTCGGCGTCTTTGAGTCTGGCGTTGCAGTCTTCCAATTTCTTCGCAAACGGCCTGGCCCTCGACTTCAATACAACTGCGGCGGGGCCTGCATTGCAGCACTCCAATAGCTCAACCCGTATCCTGACAGACCAAAACCCCGATACCGAGCCACTCCACGCAGTGAGGTGGGTGACGCATCAGCGCAAGAGGAAGAGACGAGACGTCGGGGTCTGGTGTTTGCTGAAGGGTTAATTAAAGCAAGACAAGATGATGAGATTGGCTGCTGTGGTTGTGATCGCTTCTGCGGACTTCATGGATGGTACCTGTGTGTCTGGTGTTGACCCGATGGGCTTGGAGCAGTCTTGTTTAGGTCGTTGCCACATTTACTACGAAGGAGACTACGGTGCTTGCAACCACAAAGTGGAGACTTGGGAGATGGATGGTCCTTGCGGTGATTCTGTTGAGCGTCCTTGTCTCTCGACGTTTAATGGGGGATGGGAGATGAATAAAGAGAACTGTGGCAACTGTTACGAGGTGGACATGAAGTACGACGACGGTACAGTCAAGACTACCTACCTGAGAACCCTTGATACCAATGGTTCCGAAACGAAATTCGAGATGGGTCAGGCCGCTTGGCTTAACTTGTGTCCTTACGTGTGTGCAGGAACTGGGGTTTGTGCTTACACTCCCGATCAGTGCGAATACGGAATCATTGAAGGCGATAAAACGATCAGTTGCGCAGTGCAGAACGCTCCGATCACGTTCAAGAGGGTGGATTGTGGCGGCAACAGTCCTGTGGTCACAACTACCCCAGCTCCAGTCGTCACGACCTCCCCGGCCCCGGTGGTCCCGACCACCCCGGCCCAAGTGGTCCCGACCACCCCTGCCCAGGTGGTCACTACTGCTGCCACCGCGCCTGCTCCGACAACCGGCAACAGCAACGGAGGAGGCGATGTGGTCTCCGGGTGTGTGGCTGCCATCCATGCTACGCAGGACTGTTGGACTGAAACCTGTCAAGGATACTGCGCCCTGTACGGCCCAGGCGGTGAGTTGAACCTGTGGTGTGGCGCTGCTGTATCAAGCTCCAGTGATCTAATCAAATGCATCAGCAGCCAGCAGCCTTTCTGCTTGTAGGAGGTACACTTCATTTATGTTCGTCTACTTTGAGAACCAAGGTTTTAATTTATTTTTTTGATCGATTACTAGTCTAAACAAGAGGCCTCAATAGGTATCAGGAGCTATCCCGAGTATTAAGTATCTGGCTGCTGCGAATAGGATCTTACATGCCACGCTTCCGACACGGCCGCAGGCTGATTTCAGCACGTCAGCTTAACAACATCTTCAATTCCCCCAACATCCCAAAA